GGTAAAGGGATTGTAAGCCGCTCTGAGACTCCTTCGGGTAGTGAAGGACGGGGGTAAAAATCCCATATAATAATAATAATAATAATAATGATGATGATGATGATGATGATGATGATGATGATGATGATGATGATGATGATGATGATGATGATGATGATAATTAGTTTTTAGATATGGATGTGTAAATATGCATGGTCAAGTTTTAGTAGAACATTCACTTTGCCTGTTTTAAAGATTGCATTTACACTGTAATCTCACCTTTGAGAATTTCTAATTGATATTAAATTAAAATTTTAATGCCTACAGGTTTTGTTATGTTTCATTACAGATATCTAGTGGATGAAATTAAGAAGAGAGATGGGTTCCAGCTGCTACTGGAGGTAGGTTGGTACCAAATGTGACTCAACATTTTGTGCATCCATTTTAAGATGGTACCAAATGCGAACATTCTGGAGCTGATGATTCAAAGAACTCTAAGAACAATGTAATGTAGATAGTCTGCTCCCTTTGACTTTTGAAGAGCAAACCATTGGAACATAATCAATCACCTAGTACTGTATACAGCTTGATACAGAAACAGATGGGCTACTCTCTTGCCACAGCTAGAGATGGAAACTGCCGTTATGTCAAGGGTTTTCCCCCCCTTCTAGCTTAAAAAAAAATTAGTCTTTACTCATAAATATTTTCACATGCTTTAGTTATGCATGAGAGATGACAAAGTGCAAAAAGCTCTGGGATTTCAGCAAACATTGTCTCTGGACACTTTAGAGTCTAGCACAAGGATCACTGTGAAAGCCCTCAGTGAATTCTTTATGGATGTCATCCAAAATGCCATCTGCATGAGCTAAAGGCTGGCTAGGTCAGAAGGGTTCATCTGGCATCTGTTTCCAAGGTGAGATGATTTGGACTGTTGAACAAGTGTCAGTCTCCAGGTGGTCCAAGCCATAGACGAATGGAAGCAGCTGACTAAGGAGGACAAACCAGCCTGACTGGATGTACTTTATGGTGAATTAAAATTATTCTCCATGGAAATCTAAATGTCATAGATACAAAAAGCTGCCAAACCTCCAGAGAGTCATCAGTCCAGATATTCGTCAGCCTAAAGTACAATCTAAACAAAGTTACACCTTTCTAAGGCCCCGGTCACACGGCAAAGTTGCTGCAGAAGAGGCACGGAAGTCCCGTGGATTTTCCGGGCGCTATCTCACGCCAACATCTGGGAAGCGCAGTGCTCCCGTGGCGAAGCCGTAGCTCCCCGCCGAAGGTGCGGAGTTTAAAAACTAGTACCTACGAGGTACTAGTTTCCTGAAACCGCGGGCCAAGGGCAAGCATCTGATCGCGTTCCTGGTGGACTTATGTGGCATCCGGCGCCCGCTGCTGTTCGTCTCCACAGGTTGCGCAACAGCGCCCAACAGCGCATGTGCACAAAGAGCGATCTGTGCCACGCTGCAGGATACCCATCTGATCGGCATTTCCCCTGAACCACGGGACCTCGACCGGGACGTGTGCTCGGGCGGCCACGCGTTAGTTTCCTCCGGGGCAATTAGCCACGCCTCCCACCTGCGATATCTGGCCCATGTGACTGGGGCCTAAGGCCATCAAAGCAACTGAAGGGTGTAACTCTGCTTAGCATTGCATGGTCAGCTGGCGTTTGGTCTCCATGTTCTCAGGTGTGAGTCATACCTGTGCATACAAACCTATGTTTGGTCACTCCATCATTTTATCTGGATGTGCTGAGGTTTGAATCTGAAGCCTTTGCATGAAATTCATGTGTCCTCCCTTACTTCAGTTCTTACTCCCTTACTGCCAAGGTGGACCAAATTCTGCAATGGTTTTTTTGTTGTTGTTGTTGACAATTGCATATAGAACTGACTTGACCCTGCAACTTTGTATAAAACATCTAGCCAGTTGCCAAGGTAGCTTTGAATTCACTTAAGACTCAGAAAAAAATCTTCAGGAACTGGGGAAAAGGAAAATTCTACTGTACGCCAAATCTCCTGTGCCTCAGAACCCAAAGGAACCAGTTCTGTAGCAATTTATATCATCAGTTTACCTGCAATGATGTGGTATGTCCAAGCTCTGAGCTGTTGAGGTCACCAAGAAATGTTTAGGAAAAGGTCTGTGGTGCCATCATGGTACAGTGTTAGGTCTATCTGTTTGTGGTGATGTCCCAGTGCTGTAACCTAGACTGGTGTCATGCCATCACCATGGACTATGGAACCAGATCAGAAATGGGTATGAGTAGGAATAAGTGTCAGTAACATACACAAGCTAGGTCCACATTATTGGTCTGGTCCAATTACATCTGGTTGACTCTTGCAAGGCAATCACATGGTTTGTCTTTCTTCCAAGATTATTGTTTTATCTCACATAGGTTTAGAGCATAGTTTGTCATTTTACATAGGTTTGGAGCATAGTTGGTCATTTATCAGGAAATGCAAAATCTGAAAATGTCAATAGTTTCGGTTTTGGGGGAATAAAACTCCATGTTTTTACTAGAATTTACAACAGCCTCATTTGGGCAGGCACCAAACTTGCCTTGGCATTAGGAGTCCAGGACAAAGGGTTTGCATAAATTTATACATGCAGTCTGTGCTATTTGAGTTTCTTGCCCATCTCTTACCTCAAAAAAAGTTCAGACATACAGACTATACTGTCAAGTGAAGAGTCTTCTCTTATTAATGCAAGAGGTGCGAGAAAATACTCAACTTTGAGGGAGACATTCTGAACAAATATTGATCTGGAAATTTTCAGGCAAACTAACTTCTGAGATATGCAGTATTTTAGAAACTATAAAACAAATGACTGATCTTTTAAAATTAAAAATTAATGGGTTGCCAGTCCTTTCAGAAACTCAGAATACAGAGGTGGGAAGCAAATTGTGAAGATTCTTCAGTTTCTTTTTTTGGAGGGGAGATATAATTTTTTATTTTTATTAACAAACAAAAACAAACAAGAACAAAGAAACAGTACACATACACATTACATTATGACAATTATACATAAACAGTTATCTTTCATGAACACAACATAAGCACAGATAAAGAGACAGACAATCATTCATGGTATCTATCTTATCTATTATGTCAAATTGCATTTCATTTTATTACAATTATTGAACAGAACTTACTTTATTGCATTAAAATTACTGTATATACCCTAGATTTTTACTTATTTATCTTTATTCTATCTTTTCTTCATTACTTTGTATCTAACATTTCATTATTACAAACACGTATTGCCTAATTCTATCTCTTAATCATTCTCCTCTTTAACAATTCAATCCTAGTTAAGATTCTGCAGTTTCAAGCAGCACAATCACATTTGTTTTTAAATTAGAGCAAACATAGGCACAAACATGAGGAAGGACTCAGGAATGTGTGACAGGCTTTGTGTATGAGTAAAAAATAAAAGGATCAATGATAATTGAAGAAAGTAGAAACTATATGTATAAATAGAAAAAAACATAGGCTGCGGTCACACGCAACATTAGCCACGCAAGAGATACGGAAGACAAGCGGAGTTTCCGGTCGCGATCTCACCAGCACATCTGGGAAGCGTAGCGCTTCCGTGGCACAACTGAGGCTTCCTGCCGAAAAAGCGCAGCAAAAAACTAGTACCTTGGAGGTACTAGTTTCCAGAAACTGCGGGGCAAGGGCGGGCGTCTGATCGCGTTTCCGGTGGTATCCGGCGCCCGCCCATGTCCCCTTGCGGAAAAGGGGTTTTTTCCCCCCACGTCTCCGTGGATGCGCACACGCACCCAACGGAGCATGCGCATTCGTAGTGTACACAAAAAAAGAAAACCAGTTCGCCGCGCCGCGCGCTTCTTCATTGCGCGCAGGCGTGTGTTGTGATCGGCACCTCTCCCTTGCCATGGAACCTCCACAGTACCTCCACAGAACCTCCACAGTAGGTCTGATCGCTTTACTGCATGTTAGTTTGCCCCGGGGCAAACAGCCACACTTCTCCTCTGCAGTTTCCTGCCCGTGTGACAGGGGCCATAGTTGTGTATATATGGTGCATGTTTTACATGCTATTTATAAAATCTGCCAAGGATATCTGAAACATAATGGACTTTGTGAGCATTTGATTTTTTAAAAAAATGGGGAAAAACCCTTTCAAGTTTGAGAGTCTCAAAGGAAAGACTTTATGAATTTCAGAGAAAATATTTGAAGGGACTGAGGATACACCTGTTCACAATATTTGTGGGTTCTCTTCAGTATTTGAACTGGAAATCCACAGTTCAGATATCCAAGCTTTCGTTCTGTCTGCTACTCCAGTTCAGAACACTTAACTGAGGTCTCAAACCAGTGATGGCATTTCTGAAAATGGCAGTTCTTTTGAGGTACTTTTTGTTTTATTCTCGTCCTTCGCGATCATTGCTTCTCAGAAAAATGTCTGGAAGCACTCTAAGGAAGCAATTAGGGCCAATTTTACACAGCCACTTTATAATAGCTAGTAGGGGTATTCCAGCTGCAGTATACCAAACGTCACTTTGATTGCTTGATTATGTGAAGCTTTCCTCTTGTGACCGGCTGCCCTTGCGAAGGAATAATTTGAAATGAGAAGGAAAGAACAGCCAGTGACAGCAATCCATGCTATTAGTTCTACACAATGTAGCAATCAGGTGATTGTTTCTGTCTGCCCTGTTAAAGAAAAACAACCACCTTGTAGCAGCAACGTAAGTCAATTGTATGAATTGGATTTAAATGAAGAGCCCAAAGTGTTTGCTACATGAGGAATGCTGCTCAGGTCTAAAGGACTCAGTGTCTGGCTGCGCCAAGTGGAGGATCATATAATGCCACCTTCTTTTGCCCCTAAAATATCTGAATGCAAATGGTCTGCATTCAGCAGAAAGAAATTGATACCCTCATGGACCTGTTTTGCGCCAGAGAAAAAGCTTGACTTCATCTCATTTTGGTGCAGCAGGTGGCTTGCTGGCTGAT